CATTATAACGTTATTTTAAACATAAGATTTCATCAAATTAAAAACTATTGTAACTATGTTGAACTTGCAGCAAATAGAAGTGTTAAAATAACATTGAAAACAAAGTTTTAAATAATGTTTTAAAAATATTTCTCTGATATTTAAGAAAACTATATTATAAAAAAATATATTTAAAATATGTATACAACATTATATCTAAACATTATAAAAATTTACATAAAATTAATATTTTAGAACGTTGATTTAATGTTTCTTGCTTAATGGGTATGAAATATCTATAAGAGTTTATCATCTTTTTAAATATTGACAAAAATGCAACATTTTATTTACACACGCGCACGCACACACACACACACACACGAAATTATAGAAGTAATTTATTAAAATAATTTAAATGTACATTTTCAAATTACACAGGTTATTGAAAATAACTGATCTTTTGCTAAATAAACTGTAAATGCAAAAATAAATACTACAATACATGTATTTACAATACGTGTGTATTTATATTTCAAATCTGATTGATATACATAATCATGTTTTACAAGTATGCATTACCGACACTTTGTAGATATAGCACATATCGGAACCAAAAAGTCGTGGACATAGCACGGAAGAGACCCAAAAGATCGTGGACATTACCTACGGGATTTGTGGACATTGGCTACGTAGTTCAATGTGCACGTTTTGTGCACATAGAGACGCTAGCCCACAGAAACACGAAAAATGCGGGCATGTCCACTCTCAGTCTTCTCTCTGGCTATAACATCGATGTTATAACTTCGGCGTAAATCGGAGTCGTGTAAACGTAGTCAGTGGCTTAGTTTACACCAATTGTTTAGTACGCGTACCAAGTACTAAATCAGCTTTTTTGATTGGTGTAGATTTTACACTAAACGATTTATACCTATTGGAGAAGCAGATTTAGTATTTGGTACGCGTACTAAACAATTGGTGTAAACTAAGCCAGTGAAATCTATGGTCTTTTGCACACAAGACGCGGCAATGGTAAATTCCCACTGAGCGCGTTACGCGTCGAATCATTCGTCGTGTCACGAATTAACCAATCAAAACATCCCATTTTATTGCATCATTTGTCGCGCGAATAAAATGGGATGTTTTGATTGGTTAATTCGTGACGCAACTACGTTTACACGACTCCGATTTACGCCGAAGTTATAACATCGATGTTATAACTACCGATGTTAGATGGCGTGTAAACGCTATTTTACGACGAAGTAACTACATCGATGTAATAACTTCGTCATAAAATAGCGTTTACACGGCATCTAACGTTAGTAGTTATAACATTGGG